TCGTATAAGTGGTATTATTATTAAAATAATTGGTAAATTTTGTAGTGTTTTCGTTTGTGATACGTCTAGTTACCAAACCAACATCGTTAAGTGTTAATACACAGGTTAAAACTTCCCTGGGATCCAAGTATATAGTCTAATAAATGGCTTCTCGATCTGTCGCTTAGGCAAAAGGCAAAGTTTGGACCAATGAATAAAACAAAACAATTACATTTTATGCTAAAAAGCACGACTTTTACATATTACAATGCATGAATATATTGATTTTTCACACTTTTAGATATTTGTCTACAGTGAAATTTTTAAAAAATATAAAATAACTTTGTCGCTAAATTTCTGTAATTTACGTTATCAAAATCTTAGTATTTGTGTAAACAGCATAAAAGGGTATCTAAAAACATAAAATATCTACTAGAATATCCAACAAAGTCCATAAAATGCAATCAAAAACAAAGAAAAGTTATATGACAGAATACTTACAGAAACACATTGGTCTTTTAACCAGAGGTGAGTGGTTCGTTTTAAGGATGTATTTTACGTTATCAACGATACTTAAAGAATACAAGTAAAATTGTCTTTGCATATTAATTTATTTCTTCTTCCTGACCTACCAAACACGTAAAATATTAAAACGAACATTGATCTGTGCGAGTACACATTTTACACCAATTAATCTGATAGAAAGTAATTTACGTTATGTAATTTACGTTATCAGTATAATACATATATGGTATCTATCTTGCAAATAAGACGTCGGGACAATACGGAACCATGCAGGAAACGTTATTGGTTTCTTTTCGAAAGCATCTTAACACCACCGAACTTCCGATGTAGATCTGATGCAGGAAGCGCCATCAGATAACGTAAATTACGTGTTACCTTTAACAACTTTCAAATAATTCCTCAAAGATGTATTTTTGGCGTGAATTTCAGTTGATTTTATAAACAAGGTGTACTTCTATTTATTTGTAGCAATATTTTACGCATAAATCTCTCTTCATTGATTACTTGATGAAGTAAAACATTCATAACGTAAATTACAGTAAAAATAACATAAATTAAATATAATTTAATTGCCTTTCTCCGTAATTATATTTCATAGATTTCATTTAACAGAGATTGTAAAGTCAAAAGCAGAAATTAAAAAAGCATATGGGGAATAAAAGAAGAAAAAAATAGGGAGAGGCATAACTAGAGAAAGATAGGAAAAAATACATACCAACAGCAGATCTTACATTGTCATTATATTTAACTGTGAATCTCTCAAAAGGATGAAAAATAATCAGTGTTTGTGGCATTTTGTGGGCAATTGAGAATACTGCATGTCATTAGATGGATGAAAATAAGTTCAAGAAAATATTAATTTTTGGTTTGAATACCAGTAAAATTGTAATTTACGTTATCAATATATTTCTTTAAGAAAAACCAATTTAGAATTTTCACAGTCTCTTCCCAAATTAAATTTTAAAATCCTCTTCTCTTATGATTCATAAACATAAAATCAAGTCGCACAGGAATTCAGCTTAAACATTTCTAGTAAGAAGGAACAGAATTATTTCAGTTGAAAAATAAGATTAAAGAAAATAAAATTTGTTAATTACAAATTAAGAGTAAAACACTGGCAAAAAACAAAAATTTTCGAAGTATTTTTTTTTAGTACAGACATAGTGCTAAAAAAATCCAAGTGAAACTGAATATTCATTTTGGCAATAAAACGATTTTTGACGGGTTCATTTCGACGTAAGATAATAACGTAAATTACGAAGGTAAATACACTACCTATATTGCATATTGAATATTTTTGTCATCATGCATGGTTGAGTTCCAATATTTTGAAAAATAATTCTCCCATGTTTTGTTTGCTAAAAAACATCAACTTCTCCCCCAAATAATGACTTTATTTTTTTAATGAAAGTTAGGCTGCATGTGGACGGATTATGTGAGAATAGGTGATGTGTACCCATTCATTTACCTTTTCCTGTGAATGGAAAAGAGTACTGCATATCTTGTTTGGAGTGAGTGTGTATTAAATTTATTTATAAGAGCCTGTGATGTAAACAATTTTTCCAATATTTGCCTTATAAGTAGAATACAGGTTTTGCCTAGTTAGCATTCCTCACACGAAACATTTCCTGGAATGTTTACATGTATATATTAAACCTTATTCCTATGTATAAATAGTGTATATTATATAGTTAAAATTTCCAGGAAAGTTTTTTTTAAAAATAAAATTCATAAATTTTATGTGTGCTTTCACATATACATGTACATAGATTAATGAAGAATCTGCACATACTTTTGTTTCATATATATATGACATGATGTACAAATATGTAATATGACTCTTTGTTGGGAAAGCTTAATATACAAGAATAAGAAATAAAAAAAAGACGGTGTGTAAAAGAGGATAAGTGCTAGAGAGCGCTCATGGGAAACAGTATTGAGGATTTTAACTATATTTGCATTTGTATATAAACTTAAATATTAACATATCACATTAGTTTTCCAGTGCTTTTCATATTCTGAAAGTATACAATTTCTTAAGTAATATAACTTTTTCAGTTAATATTCTTTCTACAAGATTTTTTTAGCATTGAAGTGCTTCGTTTAGGCACATTTTCAAACCTACTGGCATTTTTTTTTCACAATGAAAATATCCTTACAAACAAAGATACATGACCAAAGGGTTCCAGTATATGTTCTATCAAGCCTCTTTCTTTCCTCTGCACTAAGATATTAACAGCAATGAAGGAGAAGGTTCATGAATACTGTACAACAATATATTCGAAAAGATGTGTAAATCAGATGTGGATACTTAAATACTCTAGTGAACTTTTATAAAATTTGAAATCACAAAATTTTACCAAAATCAATAGCATCAAAACATATGACTTTTCAACTCTTCATACAACCATTCACGACGATCAAATTGAAGTCCAGCCTTATTGACATCATGGCTGCTTTTTAAAATAAAAATTGAACTCGTAAATTTACTTACCTTGTCATTGGTCCTTTGTAAACAATTTTGTTAAAAACATTCTGATTGTACACACAAGTACTCAAAAATGATATTAAAAAGATGATTGAGTTTCTAATTGACAATATTTATGTAGTTTTTGGAGATCAAGTCTTCCGGCAATCTGTCGGAATTTCCATGGGTTCTCATTGTGCCCTGTTATTAGCAGACCTATTTCTGTATTCATATGAAGCAGAATTTATTCAAAAATTCTTCATGAAAAGACGTCTCATGCTGTGGCCTTCAACTCAACATTTACGTATATCGATGACGTTTTATCAATTAACAATATTAATTTTCATCCCTTAATATCCCTTTGAACTCGAAAGAAGGATACCACAGAGTCTGACACACCTGCTTCATATTTGGATAATTTACTAAAAAGGCATAAATGGGAAAACTTACAACAAAGCTTTATGATAAACGTGATGACTTCAACTTTTCTATCGTCAACTTCCCTTATTTATGTAGCAATATACCATTATCACGTGCATATGGAGTTTATGTCTCCCAGTTGATTCTATATGCAAGAGCATGTTCTGCGTACAAACAATTTCTAAAACGAGGCAAGCTATTGACAATTAAGTTGATGAAACAATAATATTAAAAAGTCAACATTTTGCAAATCCTATGGTCGGTACAAATTCCTTGTCAGCACATTGCGTCGAATGTTGACTGACTTTTTTCATACAAATTGTTAAGCCATTTTTTTCACACTGATCATGACAAAGATTACTATTTTTGTTATGTTCATATTTCATCAAAAGTTATACATGCATTTTGCAATTTGAAAATATCAAAAGTGTGGCAAACTTCTCCATTTTCATTCTCTTCACGGAAAACACTCTCTGTTAAATAGAGCAATTAATATAAACCATCATGACGCAGACTAAAACTGCCAAAGTTTCTCCAAATTGTTGTAATATTAAAAAAAATATAAAATATTAAATATAGAGAAAAATAATTTTGTAAGTCGGATATGGAATTTTATTTCATTCATGAGACAGGAGGTTTTTTATATTTTCACTCGTACTTTGCACTCATGAAAACATCAAAAAAATCCTATCCCACTCGTGAAATACATGCAAATTCCTATATATATGAATATCCTATATATAGTCCTCCGATTAAAATACACACTGTTTACTGTATAGTGAATCTTATGACATGGGTATGCTCATCAATTGCCATGCCACTCATATTTATTTCTTCCATACTAGGGTGTTTTGCATTCAAACGGTAAATTAAATGCTTTACTTTACAAAAACACAGTCCTTAATTCAATACATAAGGAATGTTCCTAAACAGCCAAGAAGCAGTTGTTGTTTATAATTTTAAACCAATTTCTTGGTTTTGGAATAGACCATTGCAAATTTATGCTAGTGGGTAATTTGTACTGAATATGCTATGAGAAATGTTTTGTGTGGTACTAGTTTGTTAATTATCAAATCTCTGTGGAGCTTTTATTTGTATATTGGAGCTATCTGAAGTTGAATTTCTCTGAAATAGTCTTCATCTCCAAATACTGGCTTCCAAAGCTCGTCTTCAAATTTTAGGACATCTTTGAAAGAAAATATATGCTTATCCAAACAATCATTTACTTAAGATATCAGCACAAACAGAGGCATTGCTTTTATTTTCAGAAAATTATAGATTTATGCTGTCCATAAATTGAGATAGTTGAGTCCAGTTATTGAGTGTATTTGTTTGAATATGGACACAAAGTAGCAAAATCAAATATTTTATGCACCCCCCTCCCATGAATATATCCAGTGCAAATAATATTTGTCATGTTTGTCTTCTATCCTTTTGTCTTTCCGTCTGCCCTTCGCATTCTATCTCTAGAGTGATCACCATATTATGGGCATTTGTGCTATCTTTCAATATGACCTACGTGGACATTTAAAACTTGACCTTATTCACATCTTATGATTATCACTCTGATATCTTGGAAACTTAGATCGTAATCAATTGTTCCAAAGAAATGTGTTTACTAAGTTCATGTAGACCCAAAAAAGATCTCACTGGAAACGAAAGGCGAACTGTTTTCATTTTATCGATAATTTTCGTGGCAGTTTTCAGCGGTTTTATTGGAATTCAAAATTTACAAAGTACTCTTAACAATGAGGCAGGGCGCGGAGTGATTTCTCTATCTGTGGTCTACGCTGGCTTTATTATTTCGTCATTTTTTGCTCCTTCATTCATCCGTGTTTTGACTGCTAAAAGCTGTTTAATTTTAGGGTTTATTTCTCACGTAGCATACGCAGCGAGTAATATTTATGCTGTATTTTGGACGATACTTCCGGCCTCCACCTTTGTTGGACTTACTTCCGGACTAATATGGACATCGCAAGGAATGTTCATATCACGTTGTGCTATCTCATTCTCGGAAACCCAAAACACTCCAATGAAGGACAGCTTTGGCAAATTCCATGGAATATTTTTCTTCGGTATGGCATTTCCTAGATTAGTTGGAAATCTTCTTTCGTCTGTTATCTTAATGCAAGGACATTACAATGAAACAACAACCAATGCTTCAGACCTATTCACGATAAAATTATGCGGTGCAGATTTGTGTCCAAAACATACTGTAACAGAGGAACAGTTCTCCTTGCCAGATCCACTGACCGTCAAAATACTCATGACAGTGTTTGTAACGTCCAGTATCATTGGTCTGCTCTTGTGCATTTTCTTTTTACCACCACTCACAACTATTGTTCCGTTATCACAAAAAGGTGCCTTAAGGAACATGCTATCAGCATCTTGTTCATGTCTTCGTGTAAACACTGAAGCAAATCTGATTCTTCTTGTCCCGTCCGCTTTATTACTTTCATTTTTTGAGTCCTTCCTGTGGATTGACATCTCTAAGGTTTATAAACAATTCTCTTTTGTAACTTGTTTGATACCATCTAGTGCTTATCGTGTTTGATACCAAAGCTTTCTTTCAAAAAGTAAAGAAAAATTCTAATGTACATAATGAATATTAAAGTTGAATATATTTTTTAAAAACAGAATGCTATTCTTTAGGCCTATATCAGCTGCCCCTTTGGTGTGAAGATCGTTGGATTCTCAATGGCCCTGCAAGGACTCTTCAGTGGAATTTCTTCTGTTGTCCTTCCAGCACTTGCTAATTTGATTAGTAGAAAATACGTGATATCTTTAATAATTATTGGAATCATTACATCGCATGTGGGCTTGTTGGTGTGGACACCCACCAATGACAAATTGTTACACATGCTGGGATTCGTTTCTCTACATGGAATACTGGACGGCGGGTTCCGTACATTAATATTTAGTAAGTGACAATATAAAATTACTGCGTTTTATGTAAAAGAATAAGATTGCAGACCTCCGATGAAGTATGTTGCAACTTTGCTTTATATTACATGCATTAGGTCGAATGTTGACACAGTCTGACGTTTTCATACAAAATGTTAGGTCATTATTTACACACTAAATTTCTAAGGATTTTTTCCGTTTGCCCAATCATGGCAAGGAGCACAGGGCGTATGTGACCGGTCGACAGGGGATGCTAACTCCTCCTTGACACCTGATCCCATCTCTGATGGGTCCGTGTTCTTAAAGGTCCGTGTTTGCTCTGCTCCAAATTTGTATTGTTTCAATGCACTTCTGAGCTTGATTGCTGTTTGTTATCTTCATATTTCATGCAACCGTTTGAGACTCTGTATGAAGCATTCAATCAGATAACCCTTTTATGTATTTATCTTTATCATTTTGACTATTTTTATACGTAGTATAGCACATCGGATATCGAGTTATAGCATCTTTTCCATTTACATAAAACAGTATATATTTGAGCAAATATGAAAAGACCATTCGATACCATTTGTTGTATTCATATGTTGTATTGACATCTGTTGAGTGAATTTTCAGTGAATGTATTTTTTTTTACTTTAGCTGTAGTATCATATATGTACCCAGACAAGACAGATGGGGCCTTTGCCAGCGTAGCCACGTGGCGTGCAATAGGTTATACAATTAACATCATACTGGCATATTATCTATGTGTCAGAACGAGGCTGTATATGATGTTTGCACTTGGTGCCCTTTCCATGGTCACGTATGTTGTCTTGGAGATACGTCTGAGAATGAAAAAGAAAATCAGCGAGATCGTTATTGACGAAGGAAGTGAGAGTAATGTAGACTTAAGGGATTCTGATCAATAAATTATACGAAAAAGAATTACATGTACAATGTATAGTATTTTTTATCAACTTCTGCTGCATTAAACATCTACAATGTATATAGTTTTGTATTAAATGGTTTAACTGATAAATAAAACTCTGTTGTATTGCTCTGAAGAAAGACTCAAGGGTTGTGTGGTTGAGCAGAATGTAGAGCAATGGATTTGCAAAATAGATTTTTCTAAGCATATGAATATTTGCAAGCATACTCAGAACATTATTTTCGTTGCAAATGTCTCGAAGAGAGGACAGCAAAGCATTAATCTGGGAATATTGATATATACGAGGGTTGTCCGGTAAAATCGTGGACAAAGCGTTTTTATCGAAAAATAATGGGCGCTCTAAGCTGAAATTTCCAGCTAATGTTTATTTATCATATTTAAGTGCATCTTAATGTTTAGACAAAAATAAAGATTTTATTATGCTTGAATGTGCACAGGGTATGGTCTTACGGCGCACGATCAAAAAAGAAGGGTTTCGTTAAAGAATACACGAGTATTATTTCGAAATAAAAGTATTAAATAGATAAAGTTGGGATAAAGATTATCCTTTTTTTAAATCCTCTATTTATTATGTCGTCTTTTTAAAAATTTCAAGGCTTTTGCTCAATTTTTGGAAGTTTCCCGAGCATTTGAAATTGGAAAGTGGTAAACACAATACACGAAAAATGGCGACGTTTGATGACGTTACGGCGCATCAGAGAGCAGTTCAGTTTGAGTTAGATGTAGTAAAGACGCCCTAAGAGACTTTAAATGACTACAGAAGAAAAAAAAATCACTAGATCTTTAGAATACAAGTGAAATGGAATTTTTCTAAGCGGAAGCTTTTTGATCGAGTCCCCTATGGAACGCCAAATTAACATATATTCAAATATTTGAACCTATCTTCAATTAATTATACCTATCTTCAAATCAATTGTACCTATCTCCAAATGAATTAAATATAGGTTTAATTCAATTATACCTATCTTTAATTCATTTGAAGATAGGTACAATTGATTTTAAGATAAGTACAATTGAATTGAAGATAGGTGCAAATGCCATGAATTAAAGATAGGTATAATTGATTTAAAGATAGGTGCAATTGAATTGATCCTATCTGTAATTATAAAGAAACTGACAATAACAACTACTCCCCATAAAAATGCACTGTGCAGTTCCCTCCATGTTCAAGTCGCTGTTAGAGGGAGCTTTCATTATTTTCAATAACACAAAACGAATTGAACCTAGGTATAATTGAATTGTACCTATCTTCAAATCGTTTGTGGATATGTTATAATTGTACCTATCTTCAAATCAATTGTACCTGTCTTTAAATCAATTGTACCTATCTTCAAATGACTTGAAGATAGGTATAATTCAATTGAACCTATCTTTAATTGAATTGAAGATAGGTGTAATTCCATTAAAGATAGGTGTAATTTATTTGAACCTAGGTATAATTATATAGAGATAGGTATGATTATTTACACCTATCTTTAATTCAATTGTATCTATCTTTAATTCAATTATACCTATCTTCAATTCATTTGGAGATAGGTTCAATTATTTGAAGATAGGTACAATTATTTGAAGATAGGTTCAAATATTTGAATATATGTTAATTTGGCGTTCCATAGTCCCCGGGTAGAACAAAACAAACAAACAGCTACTAGCAATAGCGAAAGACGCTGTCAGTGTAGACCGTCGATATAAGATTATTTATTTGGTTTATTCTATTTAGTTGAATAATAGTGAGAGTACTCTTCATAACTTACTAATAAATCTTCAGAAGGTCCCATGTGTGTGCGAAATTGGTTATTCGACTGTTTATGGAGGAATAAATGGAAACTCAAGTGTGTGTTTTAGTGAAATTCCCGAATTTAAGAAGGCTTATCCAACTTTTTTTATCAAATAGGAAACGCAACGCTGCTTTAGACACCTTGACGTTATCATCCGTGCGCCGTAAGGCGATACCACACATAACATAAAATCTCATATTTTGTTTATTTGAGCATAATATATCTATTTGAAATATATTGATTGAAAATGTACTAAAGAGTAGTGAAAATTTTAGAACGCAGTGATGATTATATTTCACTCTAGACAACTTGTCCACGATTTTACCGGACAACCCTCATAAAATTACCTAAGAATTTTAGTTGTAAAAGTAGAAATATCAATATCAACCATGTATGCTATTCCGAGGTTACCATACAAGCATTTCTGTTCTTCTGTGTATATTTTTTTTCTTCATATTTTATTTTTATTTCTTAATAAAAACAAACATAGAAATAAATATATAACATACTTAGAACAAGTTACATTACGAACTTAAGATAATATGACAATATTGACTTAATACAATGTAAAGCAATTGAAACATGTATTCAAAAATATTTTAGGCAAAATCTTTAAAAAGTCTGTAGTCTACAAGAGAATTCAAATTTTTCAGAATGGAAGCATAGAAAATTATTGAAGATTTAACATGATTAAAAATGTTGTACAGCTAGTTTCATCCAAGGAATGTAGTCGACAGTACATCTTATATTTGTAAATTCTATAGGCAACATAAGAGATGAGTGTATTGAGTGATACAATTTTTCTATTACGCTCAGAACTAAATCCAATCATTATATGTTTCCATTTGATATCTATTTTCAGGTAAGAACTTAATCTGTTCCATATTTCAATAACATTTTTACATTCAAAAATGAGATGTTTTGAAGTTTCGTTCACATGGCATAATTTGCAATGGCTGTTCGTTTCTTTTTTCCATTTACGGAGATAGAAATTATTACAGAGAATATTGTTTAAAAGTTTATAGTTGAATTCTGTAAGTTGTCTATCGGGTATGTCGTATAATTTACATTGATATATATTTTTCCATTCTACAGGTTCAACACTGAACTCTTTGTTTAAAACTGTTTGATAGCACGGTTTACAAAATTTTTTGTGTACAAAATTTTCATAGAAAAATCTGCATCTTTGATCTAAGACATTAACATATCCTGTGTAGAAGAGAAAATAATTTCTGTAGCGTATGTTCACAAACTTACAATTTGCAAAATCATACTTTCGTAGTAAAGGTTTGAAAACAGAAGTAAGAATTTTATATTCACACAACCAGTTTGACTTGTTTTTTATACACTTCGAAAAATCTAACAATGATTTGAAATTACCATCATCGTCAAACAAATCTTTAACATGTAAAATCCCACTGACTATCCAATTTTTCAAAAATAATGTATTTCCTCTATATACAAAGTTACAATTGTTCCATATCGGCTGTTGAAGAATATTATCGGAAGACATTTTGTTCAAAGAACAAGGCTTACAATCATTGAAGCAACATAACATTTGTTGATAGAAAATAGGTAGTTTCTCTAGTTTCTCTATATTTTCTCTCTTTCTATCGGAGAAACTTAACGCATAAGGAGCATCAAAATTTAATTTTTTACAATAGCCATCAAAAATGTTGTACAAAATACCTTTTTTTCTTAACAACCTAGGTACCCAAGCCGCTTTTAAAGCATTTAATTTACATTCAATATCATTGATTGAGAGGCCACCTTTTGAAATTCTACCTATTAGCGTGTTTCGTTTAATTCGTTCATTTTTATCCCAAATAAAGTTATAAATTAGACGTTGTATTTCTTTCATGTAAGCAATATCAGGAAGACTAAGTATTGAAGCAACATATGTAAGTTTAGATATCGCAAGTGTCTTTACTATACATGATTTACCAAATAACGTAAGTTTTCTTCTTTTCCAGGATTCAAAAAGTTTTTCAATATCGTGATAAATTTTCATCCAGTTTTTAGTGTAACATTCTTCCTTGTCGTGTCCAATGAAGATTCCTAAGCATCTTACTGCTTTATTCGTGATTTTTATGCCGTGGAGTTCATTATACATCTTTTTTAGTTCCCCTAACAAAATGCATTCTGTTTTATGTATGTTTACTTTTGATCCCACATGTTCACAAAATTCTTGTAATTTATCTAGAGTGCGCTTCATTGACATTTCGTCTTTTAAAGCTACAGTTCAGTCGTCCGCATGTTTGATGTTTTTAATTTCGCAATTATTGATTGTTATGCCTTTGATGTCCTTATCACATTTTATCTTAATAGCCAAAATTTCTGCGACAAAGAGGTACAAGAGAGCGAAAATAGGACATCCTTGCCTAATGCCTCTTGTCATTTCGCAGGTTTTAGAAAGCCAGCCATTGTTTTTCGTTTTAAACATTGGGCTTGTATATAAAATTTTTGCCCACTTTATAAAACTATTGCCAATATTAAATTTTTGTAAGACTTGGAAAAGAAAATTCCATTCAACCGAGTCAAAAGCTTTTTCAAAGTCTAAGAAAAGTAATATACCATCTGAATTTTCTTTTTCACAGTATTCAAAGACGTCAAGTACTAATCTAGCATTTTCGCCGATATATTTTCCTTTTATGTATGCAGTTTGGTTTTCGTTAATTAACTTAGATAATATATTTTGTAATCTTTTTGCAAAGACAAAGGCAATAATTTTGTAATCTGTGTTCGTTAAACTAATCGGTCTATAATTTTTTAAATTATTTTTTTCGCCCTTTTTATAAATCAGTGATATAACAGAAAGTTTTTGTGAGTAAGACAATTCACCTTTGTCAAATATATCTTTAAGGGCTTTATAAAAAAAGGGCCCAATTTCCCCCCAAAAACATTGATAAAATTCACAAGGGAGGGCATCTAGTCCAGGTGATTTTTCTTTTTTCATGTTATCAACAGCTTCCTTACACTCCTCATATGTTGGAAATTCTTCTAGTAATATTTTATCTTCTTCACTTAATTTAGGGATATCTTCTATCTCTGATAAATATTTTTCAATTTTTTTGTTTGAAATGTCTTTACTCGTGTAAAGATCACTATAGTAAGAGTACATTTCACCTAAAATGGCATTAGTTTTACTGATTTTATTCCCTTCTCTTGTTTTTATTTCTTTAATTATGTTTGAGGATTGGTTGCGCT